TGATGCACTCAACACCCCCCCACACACACTGATGCACTCAACACCCCCGACACACACTGATGCACTCAACACCCTCCACACACACACTGATGCACTCAACACCCCCCCCCCCCACACACACTGATGCACTCAACACCCCCCCACACACACTGATGCACTCAACACCCCCGACACACACTGATGCACTCAACACCCCCCCACACACACAGATGCACTCAACACCCCCCCCACACACACTGATGCACTCAACACCCCCCCCCCCCACACACACTGATGCACTCAACACCCCCGACACACACTGATGCACTCAACACCCCCCCACACACACTGATGCACTCAACACCCCCGACACACACTGATGCACTCAACACCCCCCCCCCCCCACACACACTGATGCACTCAACACCCCCCCACACACACTGATGCACTCAACACCCCACACACACTGTGACACTCAACACCCCCCCACACACTCACAGAGCCCCTCACACTCACAAAGCCCCACACACTCACAGAGCCCCCCACACTCACAGAGCCCCCCACACTCACAGAGCCCCCCACACTCACAGAGCCCCCCACACTCACAGAGCCCCCCACACTCACAGAGCCCCCCACACTCACAGAGCCCCCCACACTCACAGAGCCCCTCACACTCACAGAGCCCCTCACTCGCACAGAGCCCCTCACTCACACAGAGCCCCTCACTCACACAGAGCCCCTCACTCTCACAGAGCCCCTCACTCACACAGAGCCCCTCACTCACACAGAGCCCCTCACTCACACAGAGCCCCTCACTCGCACAGAGCCCCTCACTCGCACAAAGCCCCTCACACTCACAAAGCCCCTCACACTCACAGAGCCCCTCACACTCACAGAGCCCCACACACTCACAGAGCCCCCCACACTCACAGAGCCCTCACACTCACAGAGCCCCTCACACTCACAGAGCCCCACACACTCACAGAGCCCCACACACTCACAGAGCCCTCACACACAGAGCCCTCACACACAGAGCCCTCACACACACAGAGCCCTCACTCACACAGCCCCTCACTCACACAGCCCCTCACTCACACAGCCCCTCACTCACACAGCCCCACACTCACAGAGCCCTCACAGAGCCCCACACTCACAGAGCCCTCACTCACAGAGCCCTCACAGAGCCCCACACTCACAGAGCCCTCACTCACAGAACCCTCACTCACAGAGCCCTCACAGAGCCCTCACAGAGCCCCTCACAGAGCCCTCACACAGAGCCCTCACTCAGAGCCTCACTCACAGAGCCCTCACTCACAGAGCCTCACTCACAGAGCCTCACTCACAGAGCCCTCACTCACAGAGCCCTCACAGAGCCCTCACTCACAGAGCCCTCACTCACAGAGCCCTCACTCACAGAGCCCTCACTCACAGAGCCCTCACTCACAGAGCCTCACTCACAGAGCCTCACTCACAGAGCCCTCACTCACAAAGCCTCAATCACAGAGCCCTCACTCACAGAGCCTCACTCACAGAGCCCTCACAGAGCCTCACTCACAGAGCCCTCACTCACAGAGCCCTCACTCACAGAGCCTCACTCACAGAGCCCCTCACTCACACAGCCCTCACTCACACAGCCCCTCACTCACAGAGCCCTCACAGAGCCCTCACAGAGCCCTCACTCACCACAGATTATAACGACCCTCAAGAGCTAATTTGAAAGGAAATTACTCTCCACTTATTAATTAATTATACCTTAGTTAATATCCGCTATAATTCCCCCAACAGTCACTAACTGTAGTAGATATACAGTAGACAGTTATACCGACTGCTGTAGTTATACAGCAGTGTTGCTGACTGTTGTATTTATAGAGCAGTGATGTAGTTATACAGCAGTGTTGCTGACTGTTGTATTTATAGAGCAGTGATGTAGTTATACAGCAGTGTTGCTGACTGTTGTATTTATAGAGCAGTGATGTAGTTATACAGTAGTTTGACTCGGTAGTTCTACAGTAGAAAGGGAAGTTTTTTGAATAATATGGTAGATAGGCATGGTAGATAGATGTAGTTCATGACTCAGTAGATGGATGTTACAGTAACTACAGTGGTTGTTACGGTAACTACAGTGGTTGTTACAGTAACTACAGTGGTTGCAACAGTAACTACAGTGGTTGCAACAGTAACTACAGTGGCTGTTACGGTAACTACAGTGGTTGTTACAGTAACTACAGTGGCTGTTACAGTAACTACAGTGGTTGTTACAGTAACTACAGTGGCTGTTACAGTAACTACAGTGGTTGTTACAGTAACTACAGTGGTTGCAACAGTAACTACAGTGGCTGTTACAGTAACTACAGTGGCTGTTACAGTAACTACAGTGGCTGTTACAGTAACTACAGTGGCTGTTACAGTAACTACAGTGGCTGTTACAGTAACTACAGTGGCTGTTACAGTAACTACAGTGGCCGTTACAGTAACTACAGTGGCCGTTACAGTAACTACAGTGACCGTTACAGTAACTACAGTGACCGTTACAGTAACTACAGTGACCGTTACAGTAACTACAGTGACCGTTACAGTAACTACAGTGACCGTTACAGTAACTACAGTGACCGTTACAGTAACTACAGTGACCGTTACAGTAACTACAGTGACCGTTACAGTAACTACAGTGACCGTTACAGTAACTACAGTGACCGTTACAGTAACTACAGTGACCGTTACAGTAACTACAGTGACCGTTACAGTAACTACAGTGACCGTTACAGTAACTACAGTGGCCCTTACAGTAACTACAGTGACCGTTACAGTAACTACAGTGACCGTTACAGTAACTACAGTGACCGTTACAGTAACTACAGTGACCGTTACAGTAACTACAGTGACCGTTACAGTAACTACAGTGACCGTTACAGTAACTACAGTGACCGTTACAGTAACTACAGTGACCGTTACAGTAACTACAGTGACCGTTACAGTAACTACAGTGACCGTTACAGTAACTACAGTGACCGTTACAGTAACTACAGTGACCGTTACAGTAACTACAGTGACCGTTACAGTAACTACAGTGACCGTTACAGTAACTACAGTGACCGTTACAGTAACTACAGTGACCGTTACAGTAACTACAGTGACCGTTACAGTAACTACAGTGACCGTTACAGTAACTACAGTGACCGTTACAGTAACTACAGTGACCGTTACAGTAACTACAGTGACTGTTACAGTAACTACAGTGGCTGTTACAGTAACTACAGTGGCTGTTACAGTGGTACAAAACCGTAACAGTCCACTAGGGTAACTCCAGGGGTCTGAAAGCTATGCAAGACGGCTGCAAGCGTGCCCAATCGTCTCCCCCCCAGCTCGGGAATCGAACCCGGAACCATGTGATTTGTGACGGCTGACATGAGCACATCATCGCAGTAGATCGCTCCGTCCTCCTAATAGAACGTCATATTTTGACATAGTCCACCTAAGGCAAATTTCGTACTAGAAATACTCTCCCGTTTTCTGTTTTGGGCCCTCTGGTAGGTTAGGATAAGGGCACTTCAGTACGATAATTTCTAGACGTTTGGAGAAATTGCACAGATATGCTATGCACATATCTGTATGCACAGATATGTAAAATTGATACAGATTAAGTTACCCAAGAGGTGGCACGGGCATGAATAGCCCGTAACACAGATATGTAGTGTGTGGGGGTTGTGTAAATAATGATTTAACACCTGCCTCCACCCTTTGAGCAAGTCAGGTGTGTGACGCGCGAATTGATGGTTTAGTTTGCTAATTTAATATCTGATTTATAGAATTAAAACCAGATCAGGATTTTAGATCATCTAGGTTTTAGCAAACAGATTAGCCTAAGTCAGGCTATTTAGTTTGCTAGATTTTGTGTAAATTAGGCTGTTTGGTCAGTGTTTGGTGCGTAGAATGTGGCTATATATTAGATGGTTTTCTAAGTGTCTTTGAACTAGGCTAAGTTGGTTTAGCGTGATACTGGTACACTTAGATCAGTCTAAAGCTGGGGAAGAAATACGACACATCTTTGAACAGAAACTCAAAATATGACGCCCATCGCTATAATATAAGTTAGCTTAAAATTGCTACAAATTATCGAATAAATCATTTATCTGAGCTCGAAACAGTTAATTATAAAGAGGAGCACCCAAGGGGTCATTTGATTCATTCTTTCTTGGCAGTTTTTCATATTTATTTTTGACACCGACACATTCTATGGGGCGCTGGAGAGGTTAGAACACCCACAGTAATGCATTCATGACTAGAACACAAAATTCCTTAATATATTTCATTCACTAAAGCACTAGTTGACTCGAACCGCTGACCCAACTTTTGTGAAGCAAAACTTCTTCCACTGATGTTGACCAGACCACACACTAGAAGTTGAAGGGACGACGACGTTTCGGTCCGTCCTGGACCATTCTCAAGTCGATTGCTTCTTCCACTGACCTATCTATGAAGCCCAATTTCCAATCAATTATTTCCTTAATTTTCATTTGTGGTCAATACACAGTTATCAGTCAATAATTATCAATCCCAGAAAAATCAATAGATAATATATAATAAGTGTTTTCGAAAAGTCGCAGATCATCGAACTGACGCAGTAGGGGTACCAGTCAGGTAGTTAACATTCAGACAAGACCACGCTGTTAAACTCGCTCAGTGTACGTGGTGAGCGTTCATCAGCTTCACACACTGTACTTCACAATACTGTCATGCCTCTGGTGCCCACCTGCGGGAAGCCTCGTATCTCGCTAGGCTGAGGCAACAGCCTAACTAAGCCTCCAACACATTTCCACTTTTGTGTTATCTGTTTCGTAAATTCAGCCTTTTTTCTCTCTTATATTTGTCGTAATTGGGGTTATTACTATGTAACGCTCTAATAACCATATATTTCAGCCGTAATGAAAGCTACCATAGTTCAGTCCGGCCAAACTACCATAGGGCAATCGGCATTATACGCAAACTATATAAAAATACTATATAATTGTAGGTAATCTAACCTGGAGCGAGCCGGTAATAGTGTAGAAGAGGAGCAGGCGCGTGAGGCAATGTACACCTCACACACACATCAACACTCCCTCCGTCAGAAGGTCAACTTGCTACACTCCTGTTCAAGTGTACGCTGAACACTTGGGCACGCGAGAGCGGGAGGCACGCGAGCGAGAGCGGCCTCAAGAGCACTACACACCGGGGCAGCAGCGCGACACTTACTGAGGGTACTATGCCCAGGGTACGCTACACCCACCCCTCGCGCCCCCCACACCAGCGTAAACACTTCCCGCTGCCTTCTATACACCTCCCCCGGGGTATATTATGCACTTACACACGCCCAAAACTTTATGTACGTGGGAGCGCTTCTTCCTCCATGGGACTTCCTGCCTAGAATTGAGATTGTGGAACTAATTTGTTAATGATTGGGGAAGGAAAGGGGGTTGTGAAGATAGATGGATCCGTGTGTGTGTGGGGGGTGCCATCCCCAAGGCGTTAGTTGCCATTCAATCATATTGAGAGTTGATGGCGGCGTAGGCAGCTGGTTTGACCACTGCCACCCAAACATGCACGGCACAAAGTGGCTGCTATTTGGAGGCGGGGCTCTTCATTCATATACAGCGGAGCAAGCCACACACACACGCGCGTGCACGCACGCCACCAAATCTAAGGAGGCAAAGGTGTGTGGGACGTCAGTGCGTGTCCAGAGGCGCCGACAGATCAAGTGCCAAGGGAGCGGACGGCAGCCGATCATCCCTTATCTTTTTTATCAGTGGGCCTCTTCTGTCTCGCTGTAATCGATGATGTTCGTTGCTAATGGGGTTTGGTGAATGAGAATTACTTTGTTTATGCGTCACGGAATTATCAAGATACCATTATCCGTGTACTTCTGGACCCCCCTCCCCTGCCCCCCTCGGGGGGGGGGGGGCTAATAATAAGACAACACGTACAGTACTAAACAAAAACATAACACAAGGACACTAAAAAATGCTATAAAAAGCCTCAGCTACGCTCAGTGGGCGAAGCAAATCCCACAATTGAGATCCAAACAAACTTATAAAATTCCTTTGCGGTAATAAAATGCATATAACACATCATGTATATATATTCCAACGACTATAATTTATCAACCAACATAAAAAAATATATAAGATTTACGGACTAGGAGTGGTTGGGCAGACCTTATCACATGATAGGAGCCACAATTTGCTAGTTATAAGGCTTAGCCTAGCATCTTGTGACTGCTTCAAGCAAGCCATTGGGGTTGTGTTTACATATTATAGTGCTCGTGTCATTCTCATTTTTGAATCATGTTCTCATCAGATATTTTGAGTGGTGCTTTGATTGTGAATTTGAGTTTAGTGTGTTGTTGAGTGAGGTGTTTTGATCTACTGGGCAGGAGTGCGTGTGTGAGAATAGCGACTCGCTATTTAAGCTGAGCCTAATGCCTCTATGGGGCATCGGTGTTTGAACCATACAATCGTGTTCATGACTAAATAGTTCTTTCCATTCAAACGCGGACCATGTACTCTTTGCTGGGATCAGTCTCTGGCTCTTGGGCCCCGCCTTTCGGCCGGTGATGCCTTGGGGATCTGATGTGTTTATGAATTTTTATTCATATATGGAATTATATTTAGTGGCTCTTATGCGATTTTTTTTGACAGCTGATTAATTTGGGTTTTGAAATTTCATTGGTGTCCTCTTGTATGGTCCCAGCTCTTGTGTCCTCTCGTATGGTCCCAGCTCTTGTGTCCTCTCGTATGGTCCCACCTCTTGTGTCCTCTTGTATGGTCCCACCTCTTGTGTCCTCTCGTATGGTCCCACCTTTTGTGTCCCCTCGTATGGTCCCAGCTCTTGTGTCCCCTCGTATGGTCCCACCTCTTGTGTCCTCTCGTATGGTCCCAGCTCTTGTGTCCTCTTGTATGGTCCCAGCTCTTGTGTCCTCTCGTATGGTCCCAGCTCTTGTGTCCTCTCGTATGGTCCCAGCTCTTGTGTCCTCTCGTATGGTCCCAGCTCTTGTGTCCCCTCGTATGGTCCCAGCTCTTGTGTCCTCTCGTATGGTCCCAGCTCTTGTGTCCTCTCGTATGGTCCCAGCTCTTGTGTCCTCTCGTATGGTCCCAGCTCTTGTGTCCCCTCGTATGGTCCCACCTCTTGTGTCCCCTCGTATGGTCCCACCTCTTGTGTCCCCTCGTATGGTCCCACCTCTTGTGTCCCCTCGTATGGTCCCACCTCTTGTGTCCCCTCGTATGGTCCCACCTCTTGTGTCCTCTCGTATGGTCCCACCTCTTGAGTCCCCTCGTATGGTCCCACCTCTTGTGTCCCCTCGTATGGTCCCACATCTTGTGTCCCCTCGTATGGTCCCACCTCTTGTGTCCTCTTGTATGGAACTGATATGGTTAACAGTATTCACGTTTTGTAATATTAATTTTTTAGAGGAAACGGAAAATAATAAAAAAAACATAGCTTCAACATTCCTAGGATTAGTATAGTACATCTATATTAGGCCTAAGATAGCGTATATTAAGCCTAAGATAGCGTATATTAGGCCTAAAATAGCGTATATTAGGCCTAGGATGACCCGGAAAGGATAGGCTTCGTTCATTAGTTAATTTTCCATTCTTTTAGCTAGTATGCTATTTTGGTATATTCAGTAATACAAAAGTTAAACTTTGAAGCTTCAACAGTACTTTTTCTTACGTTTTGATGTTTGTTATATTATTAATATTATTACCGAAGGATCGACGTAGCTTTGTACAGATTTGCCTCCAGCTTCACTCCAAACTTTTCCTGAAACCAAGAATCTGAAAGTAACTTTATATTTTTAGTTTTAAAGATGTGATTTTAGATCATTTAAATACAAGAATACACGTTGCTACATCAGCCCGTAGAATCGTCTGAGAAAGCACAACTGATCTCACAAGCCAACGTTGATGTTCTTTTGTCTTTGCAAGTGGCAGAAACATGAATTTTTTAATTTCACTGAAGCTCCCGTACTCGTACGCTGTGGCCGATAGCTTTCAGCCCGTCCTCCAAACAAAAACCCAAAGTCCATTCCATCCACCCGCCAAACCCCAGCTGTTTATGATTGAAAAACGCTTAACACACGACTCACAACTGATGACGTTCGAATATTTCCGGAACAAGTACTTCGCTCACGTCCTCTGTTCGAACCACAACGCTGTAAATGCTTCACCCACGTACTACAAATACAAATAATCGCCAACAGAACCTAAACACTTAACCTAACCTATGCCTATATATGCACAATATGCTAATATGAACAGCATGTTAAAATTGCTGTATGCATCTTTGGGGTCGACCGCTGGATGGAATGGACTTGGTTTGAGGACGGGTTGCTTTAGACGACATCTGAAGCATCAGTGGAGTCTTTAGACGACATCTGAAGCATGAGTGAAGTCTTTAGACGACATCTGAAGCATCAGTGAAGTCTTTAGACGACATCTGAAGCATCAGTGGAGTCTTTAGACAACATCTGAAGCATCAGTGAAGTCTTTAGACGACATCTGAAGCATGAGTGAAGTCTTTAGACATCTGAAGCATGAGTGGTACCATCTCACTCTTCAGTCAACGTCATGTTGACAAGTGTTGGCGTGGAGCCTCATCTATGCAGTTTGTGTATTTGTATGTAGGTGTTGTAGGCTTCACGACGCTTGCTCGATGCTTTCTTTATGACAAAAGTGCTTTTGTGGAGTGTGGATGAGTGGGTGAAAGTGTTGACATACTCCTTACCACTGTTTATCGTCCCATGACGACCTACTGGTCATCAGCAAATATGTAAACAGGACTGAAAATATTGTGAGAAATAGGTCGGTAAACAGCAGCTATATTGATTCCGGAGGAGCATTGGTCCGTTCCTTGCTTAGCAACGGACGAGTTGACGAGAGACTAAGGGGGTGGGAAGCATGTGCAATGCAGTGTGCAGCCACTGTACACATCATGTGCGGAAATAGGTCTTGCTTCATACCCCGGCTCTGTTGTCACTCGCTGTGTTGGACCGCAATATAAAACGCCGCTCCTCTTACCCTCTATTACATGCCTGACTGCTGCTGTTATCTTGCCCCGCACTTCGGGGCATCATGGGGCATGAACCGCGTGAACTAATGCATCTGGCATCGGGTGACCGGGGCATGAAGGGATGTCGCACGGCGAGTGTTTCGCATCAGGGACAGGTTCGAGGTATGCTAATGGAGGTAGAGTGCCCAGGCATCCCACCTGGTCTTCTGATAGGAGCGTCGTCGCAGCTTGCTTGTGCTCGTAAATCCTCAACTCTCCCACACCTGTTGCACCTGCTAGTGTGTTGCCACAGGCTCTCGTACTCTGCAACACCCTTTCATTATCTTGTACACTCCCCCCCTGGAACATATTGCTACACTCTTATACACCCTCTTACTTGTTGTTGAAGCCTATTGCATTCTCCTGCACCTTACTGTATTTTGCTATACGTTAATACACGTTGTTGCAGCCTATTTTAAGACTTTATTTCACGCTGCTACACTATTATAGACCATTATTTACTGCTATACTTTACTACACTCTGCCACAGCCTAATATGTCATATACTCACTATTCAATATTTTGTTTATCTATATTCCCAATGTTCTCTCTCTCTCTCCAACACGTGTGTCCCTTTGTCCAGACTGTCCAGCAGGTGGGACAATCTGTCCAGCAGGTGGGACAATCTGTCCAGCAGGTGGGACAATCTGTCCAGCAGGTGGGGCAATCTGTCCAGCAGGTGGGACAATCTGTCCAGCAGGTGGGACAATCTGTCCAGCAGGTGGGACAATCTGTCCAGCAGGTGGGACCATGCACATCCCCATGCAAGCAAAACCATGCATGACCCTACACAAGTCTTCAGGAAATGAGCAGCTCCCAAACACAAATAAGCCTCTGTTGACTTGAGACGACGAATTGCGACAGGCAGACTGACAGAGGACCGGTTGACCGTCAATCACTGGCGTTCTCAGCCAGGTTGACGGCAGCCAAGAAATGGTGGAATGCGACTCGATTTCCAAGGAATTAGATAAAGTTAGAACTGACTGTCACCGTGAGTGTCTTCAATATGTGTTTTAATTGCACAAATAACCGCGAAAGTTTCTCTAGTATCTATGTTGAGGTTATCTTGAGATGATTTCGGGGCTTAGCGTCCCCGCGGCCCGGTCCTCCACCATCTTGAGGTTATCTTGAGATGATTTCGGGGCTTAGCGTCCCCACGGC